GGCAGGGGGTTGGACTTGATGATCTGCTCAGGTCCCTTCCAACCCTACCAACTAGGAAACTATGATACTAGGGGGACCTCAGGCATCAGGGTGAAAAAGGTGGGGTATTGCTTTGGGGAAACATGAAAGGCTGGCTTGGCTATCCCTCACCTGCAGCTTGGAGGGGATTCCAGGTGGCCAGAATAAGCCAGCATAGGCAGCCAGCATATAGTATGAGACATGGTGTGCAAGGGGTAACATGGGGTGAGACAGGGACACATGAGGTGAAACAGGGTTGCTTTTTGTGGTTGTAATTCCATAAATACTCCCCCTGCACAGTGGCCAGCATAAACCCACATAAGCCCAAATTTTCTGCCAATCAGCAAATCATTTTCAGGTGCTCTCCCCAATAAATGTACTGGCATAGTTAATTTCAGGGCACAGCAGTAATTGGGGTGTTTGTTTTTTAACCTGTTTGTCCATGCCAGATCATTCCTCATTCACTGTAACTGTAAGGATGGTTGCCATTTTGCCTCAGGGAACACAATTGGAAGCCATGGAAACACTTAAGACAGCTTAGCTCTTCCTTAGCAGGCATTGATCGTAACCCTCCCCCACACCCCCATCCACTGGTGTACCCATTTTTTCCCTGCCAACATGTACAGTCATGGTCCTGCTCTCTCATCCAGGACCATTTCCAAGGAACCCCATCACCCCAAAGCGTGACAAATCAGTGACCACACTTTTTTGGTTAAGCACATTTTTTGTTTTCTTTTCATACAGTCAGTCATCAGCGCATTCTCAGAGTTAAATTGTGATGATCCATGATTCTGACAAGTTAGACACGGTTTCATCTCTTCATAGCTGTCCATCATTTTCCTCCAGTTCAGATATAAGTCTCTGACTTCTGTCAGCAAGAGGAGAGCCCCGTTATGCTTTAGGGATGAAGGGGATGAGGATACAGAGCAGACCCAGGGAGTTAGAAGCAAAGAAGGGGGCATCTCAGGAGGCACCAGGTTCTCGTGCATAAAGCATGAATGGAACCAAAGCTGAGGGAGGTCTGAATAAAATTTCAAGTCCTCAGGCAGTCAGTAGTGCTGATACTTGAAGGGTTTTCTTACTTCTTATTACCTTTTATTACTATGTAGTCAATGCATGTACCTTTCTTGAGGTTCATTACGTGTGCATATATGGGAAAAGGGGGTGATGGGGTTTTTTTGGTTTTCCTGTGGTGGTCGGGGTGGGAGGCAATGCTGCCTTATCTGCTCTCACCTGCAGTTATGAGCTCAGAGTACCTTTCTATCTGTCATGTCTCTGTAAGATGACATTTGAATGGGTGAGGGGGGAGGGATGAAGGAAACAGGCAATTTAGGGGTAATTTTTCTTCCTACCTTTTATTACATTTCTTACTATTGGTTTAACTCTTTTACTATGGGTTGTGTAACTTTCACTGAGATGAAGTTCCCCCAAGGAGTTTTTCAAAGTGTGCAGCACTATTTACTTGAAAAGAAGGAAAAGTGTACATTCCCTATTGAACCCAGCTCTGTTCATTTTCCAAAGACTACAAAAATGTGCTTTGCCTAGTAGCCTACTTATTGGCTTCCCAGACCACACGACCAATCTGCAAGTGATCCATTCAAATTTAGGGTGTCATACAAGTAGCAATCCAGCGCTAATGATGCCCCCACACTCCCCAGCCTACACCCACAGAAGTTTCTGTGAGTGGTCTCCCTGGCATCCAACCCACGTCATTCTGGGAGCCCCATGGTCACCTATGTCTACATACAAGGCACAGTTTTAGGTGGCAATGAAACAGGTAAAGAATTTCTTTATTGATCACAGCCAAGGTAAATGGGATGGTCTGGGAGCTGTCCATCAAATACCAAGGAAGATGTCAATGCCTGAAGCTATCTCATCCTCTGCCTCCCTGAGCTCCACCTCCCATTTCCCTGTGTCAGGATGATGTGCTGAGACCCGCAAGGCACCACAGCAGCGACTGTTACCCCTATACTGGGAGGCAGCATGTATGGCACAGCTTGGCATAAGTCCCTGCATTGTTCCTGGGTGTGGGCCTGAGGCAGAGGGGACATGGCCTGGTGTCTCCCTGAGGAGCAGAAACAGAGTGCACAGTGTGATTGCCGCAGCCACACAGGACCTATGGAACAGGATGTGCCAGGGCACTTCTTAGTTTCCTGCCCCACAGCAGTGACACACACACTCCTACATGTAACAGCTGCAAAGCTCACCTGGTTGCAAGCTGAATGGGTGAGCTGTGCTTAAGAGCTCTGCAACAAAAGGGTGGCAAAACTTTGCAGAGGGTGCATAAGCTTTACCAGACAGGAGGGTATGCAGTGCACAATGCATACTTCTTATTGGAGTGTTTAAATTGTGACCAGAGTATTTAAATTGTGACTGCATTGCAACCTGGGGGCTTCGATTGGCTGCTACTGAGCCATAAAACCTGAGGGACAGAAAAGAGAAGGAGAAGGTGGAAGGAGCCAACTCTAGCCTTGGAGAGAGGGGGCACAGACTCAGCCCAAGCCGGTGGGGACCAATTTGAAACTTGCCCAGGGAGCAGGCATCAGGATGGGGAAGAGCCTGTGTTGTCCCGTGAGAAGATGATTCCCCACTGGGTTCAGAGCTGTGCAACCAGGGACACAGGTAGTGTATTTCCAGAAGGAAACAAAAGCGAGGTGGTAAGCAAGGCTGTTAGGCTTGCTGGGGTTGGGAGAATCAGTCAAGCCCTTAAAGGGTTAATGACCAAGCTATGAGTTGTGTCCGACTGAGACATTGGAGTGAAATCCAATCTGGGAAGGCTCAAGCCACAGAGTCAGAGACCTGCAGAGGGAAACCCCTGTCTGCAGGTAGATGTACTGGGGGGGGGGGAAGACAGCCCCGAGATGGGGTGGGCTGAGAGAAAACAAACCAGCATGGATGTGTGAGGGGACACCTAATCACTAGTGTTTGCAGTAAGTGTATTTTCAGAAGGAAACTGCTTTAGAGAACAACCTGCCAGTAAAGGAAACAAGCGGAGCCTATTGCCTGCAGCAGCTGTTCAGAGCCTGTTTTGCTGTGTTACCAGGAATGATTAAAAGAGCCCACTTTCCCCTGAGCAGCAGAAGCCTTGCCTCCACCACCTATCTAGTGGTGGATCATAGTTATAGCTGTGTTGCTATTTAGCGTTATAGGAAGTTGATAGTGACCAGAAGGAAATCAATTGAGTTATGAGGGAAACTGCTTTAAAAGGTTATAATGAGGTTAATTTAGTTATTTAGGTTGTTTAACACAAGTGGGACCACCCAGTGTGCTGGGGTTATCCACCTAACTTTGTAGTGGTAAATTTTATCTAAATTGTTAGTTTTGTTCTTACTATTGTTATTATATTTTTATTTATAAATTGGTTGTGTATAATAAAGAATAACATGTTCATCAGGTTCAGAGCAAATTTCTGGATGGCGAGGGTGAGGGACACACCTCTCCATGGGACACCTCAGTTAGTAGTCTGACTGAGGGGTTCCCAGGGCAACTGGCACCCTGAGGACCCAAAATCTGGCGCATCATCTGGCCTTCGCATGCCAGCATGGGGCATGTACAGGTGACAGAAACACCTGTGTGTGAGACCTTTTATTATTAACAACCACCCTTCATATCTGCACACGCTTTACAGAGTTGTTGTTTGGGTGTCTCACTGAAACTTCCCAACCTGAATTAACACAGCCTCACTGCCACAGCCAGGGTGGAAAATGCAATGGTATTTGCCTCTGCTCCTCCTTATTTCTCAATAAGGACCTCTGTGTGGAAAACTAGAGGCTGTCCTTCCTAAAGCAAGACTGGGAATCTGACCAGAGGGTGAAATCCTGCTCCATGGGAGTCTATGGAACCTTCAGCCCAAGGGCTTCTGTGCACCTTGCAGTGGCTTTTTGCACAAGAGCAAAATTGTTCCAGGGGAAGCAGGAGTGGGAAAAGGGTTCAGCTAAGCACCTGGTGGACTAGTATTTGCCTACCCAAGCTGGAGGAGCTGGGAAGTATTACAGTTACAATCATCCCAGATTAGGAGAGAAGCTAAATTAAAACAACCACCCATTCCAGAAGAGGTGTCATAAGAAAATAAAGGGAGCTTTGTATTATCCAATAAGGTATTTCCTGTATTCTCCACCATGACTATACAAGACTGAAAATCTTTGGAAATGACAGTGGGCTCCAGAGCAGGTACATTGGGAAGAGCAACTGTCATATTCTGGGTAGAGATATTTGAAATTAGCTTTTCCTAAATTATGCTATTGTCTGACAAAAACACACAACACTGTATAAAAAGGAGGACTTCAGTACAGGCTTACAAAACAAACACTATTTCAACTTAAAAGAAAACAATGGCAGGCTCAGAGAGCCATTTACATTCAAACTCTGTTCTTCATCAAGATAAGCCATTGTTTTAAAGATACAATTCCAGAAGTTGCTACTCTGTTTCTTTGACACCTATCTTCTATCCTTTCCATCAATCTTCATTGGTAGTAAATGCTGAAGGCATGCAAAATATATAGTAGAGCCGTGATAAAGGCAAAGAACTGAAAGAAAAACAGAGAGGATGTTACTGTAAAATGAGCCTCCCCTGTTGATTGCTGCTTTGGGGTGACTGATGTCCTTGGGTATCCATGCAATGCCTTGTCATCAGCGGATTTCTCTCTCTTTAGATGATCCCTCCCATCTCTTAATGAAAAAGCTCAGGCTGTAACAGTGGGGAAAAGCTGAAGAACATTGGCTGAAAGACAGAACTCTTTCTCTGTCCCATATTGAAAAGAAAAGTCAACATATCAATTTTTTTATGGAACAAAAAGTTTCTTTAAAAAAAATGGATTCAGAAGCACATCAATAACATATTTTGGGTTGATTCAGTCAGTGGCCGGCCATCCTCAGCACCTCCTGACAGCCATAATTTGTCTGTTCCATTTCTCTCTGAACTGGTGTCCTCATAGGCTGACATTTCCCAAAATTCACCATGCTCAGGGGACTCCCATGGCACATGAGTGATAGAGGAGGAAAGAACCCAATGTATCAAAAGAGGTGAAGTCTAACCAGGTAGCCCAGACCACAGGAGAGGGGAGGCAGTATAAATCACTGAACTGTACTGTCAATCCCATAAGGCACTACAGAAGCTCCAGCAGACACGATTACTATCAAACTGCCCTAAAACAAAAATGCTTCTATTGGGCTTGAGGAGGCAAAACATTTTGATTTGGGACAGCCAGACACACAGTGAAATACTTTGTTTTGATTTTCTCAAGACAACATTTAAAAATTGCAGCAACAATGAAATTTTCCCCCCATGGAAATTCTGGGGAGAAAGGAGATGGTTACACAGATTGAACGCTAACCAGCATCCTGGGGATTTGACCTACCGAGGCAGCAGCATTGATCTGATAGTACTGAGGCGTATAGGCTGCTGGCACTTCAGTTTCAGAGCGGATTGTTGCATTTGCTTGTAGAGCTGCAGCACTCATGTATAAAATCCCGGTGGTCCCATGGTAAAGACTATCCTGAGAAAGGAGAGACAAGTGAGGAAAGTATGGTGCCAAAACACAGGCATGATGTAGAGAACTCCTCACCACACACAGAAGGCAGCCTAATCTCCACATCCAATAGCATAGCTATTCCTGTCAGCTGTATAATGGCAGTTTTCAGCAAGAGGGAAGAGCAGTGTCTTCAGGACACACAAAACAGCTGGCACAATCTCAAGTGTTCCAAGTGGGATGGGATGAAACACATGCTAGCTAAGCCCAAGAGCAAACATTTTGAAAGTCAGAAGCTACTTAAAAACATAGCTTGGAAAGATGGTATGTCCTCAACGGCAGTGTCACATTTAGTGACAGAACAATATTAATCTGAGGGAAAACATACACCGGTGCTGGATTCATGTTTCATTGTTCAAACTTTGAGAAGTCATAGAATCATAGGGTCATAGGAAAGTAGGACTGGAAGGGACCTTACAAAGTCACCTGATGAACCCCTGACAAACCTATCCCAGCCATGTGTCTGTCTAACCTGCTTTTGAAAAATTCCGAGGATGGATATTCCACAGTTTCTCTAGGTATCCTGTTCCAATACCTGTCTACATTTATAGTCAGAAAGTTCCTCCTAATCTCCAGCTTTCTAATTTCCCTTGCTGCAGTTTGAGGCAACTGCTCCTAGTTCTGTCCCCTACAACCACAGAAAGTCCTCTGTAAATCACCCTTCAGGTATTCGAAGACTGCTATCAAATTGCCTTCCACCCTCCAGTCTTTTCTTCTCTTGACTAAATAACCCTAGTTCTTTCAAGCTTTCTTCATAAATCTTGCTTCCCAAATTGCCAATTATTTTTGCTGCTCTGCTCTGGACACTTTCAAAACTTAATATTCTTCTTGAAGTGTGGGGCCCTAAACTGGACACAATACTCCAAGTGAGGCCTCACCAGTGCTGAATAGAACAGAAGAAGTCCTTCCTTGGATTTGCAAGTGACCCTCCTGTTAATACAACTCAGTATGCTGTTGGCTTTTTTTTTTTTTTGCAATAAGAGCACACTGTTGGTTCATATTCAGTTTATGGTCCACTGTAACCCCTGGTTTCTTCTCTGCATTACTGCAACCCGGCCAGTCGTTCCCTTTTCTGTATTTGTGCATGCAATTATTCCATCCCAAGTGAAGGACTTTCCCCTTGCCCTTGTTGAATCTCATCTGATTATCTCATCTGACCACTTCTCCAGTCTATCCAGGACATTCCAGCTCCTAGCCCAATCCATAACTTGTTCTACTACTCCAGACTGTTTGTCTCCTTCCCAATCTTTGCTGTCAACTGCAACTGTCATATGGTAGCTGCCCCTATTTGTGAAAATAGGAGTAAAAAAGAAATTAAGTGCTTCAGTCTTTTCCGTATCATCCATAACCAGATTGCCTTCTGCGTTCTGCAAGGGACCTATGGTTGCTCTGGTTGGTTTTCCTCTTACTTTTGACATACTTGTAGAATCCCTTGTTATCTCCTTTTATGTCTCTTGCCACTTGCATCAAAAATTGTGCCTTGGCCTTCCTCATTTTCTCCTTGCATGCCATGTGATACTCTTATACTTTTCCCTAGTACTATAACCAAGCTTACATTTTTATAGAATTCCTTTTTTGGGTTTCAACTCATTGAAGAGATTGCTGTATATATAGCCATACTGGTTTGCTGTTGCACTTCCCAGACTTCTGTCACATTGGTACAGCTTGCTCCTGTGCTTTTTAAAGGGCATCCTTAAAGTATAGACAGCTTTTCTGGACTCCTTTTCCTTAAGACTTGCCTCCCAGGGGATCCTGCCCACCAGTTTCCTGGGCTTGTTAAAGTCTGCTTTTCTGAAGTCCAGTGTCCTTATTCTGCTGCTTTCCTTCCTTTCTCCCCTTAGGTTCTTGAACTCTGTCATTTCATGCTCATTGCCACTCAAGGCAGTACCATCCATCTTCACATTTTCAACCAGTTCTTCTATGTTTGTGAGCAGTAAGTCAAGAAGAGTTTCTCCCCCTAGTTGGCCTCTCTACCATCTGTATCAAAGTTATCCCCAACACACTCCAGGAATTTACTGGACTGCTTGCACACTGCTGTTTCCCTCTGAACAGATATCTCAGTAACTAAGGTTCCCCATGAGAATCAAATCCTGCTATTTGCAAGTTTCTGTCAATAGTTTAAAGAAGGCCTTGTCCACCTCCTCGTCCTAGTTTGGTGACCTAAAGCAGATGCCCATCATGACATCCCCTCTGTTGCAGTCCCTTGTGACCTTTACCCAGAGGATTTCAACAAGTCCACCTTCCACTTAGTACTGCACCTCAGAACTCATGTACATTGCCTTTATACACAGGACAACACCTCCTTCTTTTCTCCCCTGCCTACCCTTCCTGAACAAGCTATACCCATCCATGTCCATACTCCAGTCATGTGAGCTATCCCACCACATCTCCATAATTCCAATTACACCATCATTCTGTGATTGTACTAGGATCTCCAAGTTGTGCTGTTTGTTCCCCATACTTCTCACATCAGTAGATAAAAAAATTCAGGTATCTAACTGACTGTCTTATCCTCTCCCTGAGAACATTACTAAGGTTTCTATTGTTGCTTCCCCTTGCTAAGTTTTTATCCAAATCCCCAGGCTCTTTACTTGTCTCTGGGTTTTTTTATTCATTTACAAGTGAAACCAGGAAATCCCAAGTTAAGATTCAGGCATATTATTACTTCACCTGTATTTTGTTGTATGTGACTTCTACATCCGTACTAATATATGAGCTACTTCATGTATGCATGCTCTTAGATGACCACAACAGTGAGCCTTGAAGCTGAAGACCAGCCACAGGGACAAGGCCCACCCCCAGCAGCAGCACCCGGCACAACAGTGTGTGTTCTTACCATGATTCTCCAATTTTCATTGTTTCTGTGAAATCCAAACAGGTAAACCAGCAGAAGTGCCAGGGAGATGATAAATGAACTTACTGACACGTACATAACCCATCCCTGCAGCAATGGAAAATGCACTGAGGTGGCAGCAACTAGGATCCAGACCCAGGTTCCAAACACCTGTTAAAAACCAACAAGGAACTCAGTGAAGGTAATTGATAGATCACTCAGAAATAGGTTTGATTTCCTGTCCTCCCTGCAGGGCCAGGAAATCATTTCTTCTGTGGATATGCCACACACAGCAACCCTAACCCTTTTCCACCCCTGCCATGGGAAAGGTATATGATAGATAAAATGATCAATAGAGTGAACTAAGCAAGTGCATAAGTGTTACGTCAAACAGGGGAGGGTCTTCCTATTCCTACAGGCCATAGTGTGCAAAAACCTTCTCTGTTTTCTCTGACATGGCTATTGCCCCATTCTATCTCCACTACCCAAACTGGTTCATCTTCCACAAGTGCACAGATGAGAATCTCAGCCTCTGCTTCTCCCCTGAGGAGAAGTGACTGAGCTCTGAGTCTGTGGTTCAAGTCTCCTGGCTGTGTTGGTCCTACCTGGCTTCTGGGATCAGAAGCAGCCATTACAACTTCCATGGTCCAGCTTGTATGAAGCCCCTGCTTTAGGAGTGGTAAAATTAGGTGTCCATCACACACTGATATTTCACGCCCTGGAACTTTGTAAGGCAACAGCCAGCTAAACTGTGCAATCTGGGCTCTTCTTAGACCCTTTATTTGACCTCACACATAACTGCAAGTCATAACTTGGGTGATATCTGTGCTCTTCAACAGGCATCCCTCACTCAAGCCAGTTTCCCTAACTTCTTGTATGTCCCTGCTAAGTCCCTCTGAACTTCTTAACACTCACCTCCTTGCTCTGCATGAGGCTGTACAGCTGTAGACACAGAACTTAATTGCCCCTCCACTCTGGGGTGCATTAGAATCTGACCATCAGCTCCCTGGTGCTGAATCAACTTCCTGGGTGGATGATATTTCCTAAGGGAGCAGCCACTGGCAAACCTTGCAGCTCACCAGATGGCTCCACATCCCTCCCTTGTCTGCCATTGTTTGCTTCATCTGTGCCCTGGGTTGTATTTACTCCTTCCACCTGGGGAAGATTATTACCTTCTCCCCTATAGCTTCCCTCACACACCAACAGCCCCATGCAGTGAGTTATAAGAAGGTGCTTTCCAATTTCAGGGCAGGTTGTATGCCTTGTATTAAGGGCCATCATGACCTCACTGGAATATCAGGCTCCATGAATTCTCCTGCATCAGTCTGGTGCCATAGTGAAATCCCGCACTGACATAGGTATATCAGTCCATATACTGGCTTGCCAGTCAGTGCTTACCGCCCACCTCTATCTTTGTATTTTTCTGATCACTCTACCATAGGGAGTTCACTCCTGCTGTCTCTCCCCAAAGATTGCTTTCCAAAGCCTCTCAAGTTGTACACACACTTGTGCCACAGAATTGTAACAGCTGCCCAGCTTCGGAGACAGCAGGCTGGGCAGGGAAGCAATGTTGGAGCCTTTGCAAAAAGGACAGGAAGGGGCTTGCATGCAGGACCTCTGAAAAGGTGCAAGCCTAAAAATATGCATGCAACTGATTGGATTGCCAGCAAAATGGAGGGATCTGGTTGACTGTGTCTGGGATATAAGCACAGCAGATGGCAGGAAAGAGAGAGGAGGGAGAGGATTGGGACAGTCTTTCCACCCAGGGGACTGAAAGCCTGTTCCGGGGAGCCAACACACCAGGAAAGATGGACAGCCTGTGGTGCTCATTAAGGAGCTGTGCAAACTCAGGACTCGGATGCCCCAGGAAAGGGGAGGCCGGGAGTCTGTGCTTGTGGCTGGGTCTGAGCCATGGGAAAGTTTAAGCTGCAGGAAGAGGAGACCTGCCGGTAAAGGGAGGCAATCTCTATTAAGCAGCCCTAGTTTCAGAAGGAAAGGGAACATGGGGAAGCATTTAACCCCATAGTGCTTGTAAGAAGTTTGTTTACAGGGAAGGAATCATCCTGCTGCCTTCAGGACAGAGGTTTCTGCTTGAAAGAAACACTGTACTCCATACCTGTAGAAGATGCACACTGCCATCTGGTGACCACACAGCAAAAGTTTATTTTTATTAGAGTGAACTGAATTCCTAGTTGAACTGAGTTTGAGAGTCTATAATCTGGGAATGGACATATATTGATAGGACTGTTGTATGTGGGATCACTTGTTGGATGAACTATTCACTAATGTTGGGTTTATAGATAATATTTTGGTTATGGGTTTTAATGGGTGTTGTTGAACCTATGTAATGTAATATATATATTATATTTATTATTAATCTTTTCTTTAAATAGTTATAGCTAAAATAAAGAACCCTATTTGTTACTTAAGCTGGAGTGGATTCTTGGGAAGGTGAGAGTGAAGAGCACACCTTTTCTTTTTAGCAGGACACCTCAGCTAGCTGAGCTGCCTGAAGGAGAGCCCAAAACTATTGATACCCTGAGGATCTTGAATCTGGTATAGTGCCTGGCCCTGGTACTGGGGAAGGGTTACAGAATCAATAAGGATTTCACATGGGACTCTTAGGCAGATAGATATGACTCCCCACAAAGGGAATACACACACATCAAGGGGCTGGGATTTGCAGCAGCAGTTTGTGTCACTACACCCATGGGTGACTGGTGCTGCCTTAGTCAGGGGGGCACCCCCCCCGCAACAACCAGTTAGAAACCAGGGGGAAGGGGGCCCCTGCAGCCAATCATGAGACAGCCAATCAGTGCGGCCACTTCTGGAAGTGGCTGTGGCCGTTTCTGGGAGTGCCACAGCACTCCACTCCCCGGTCGGCACTTGCAGTGGGGGCACCGGCGCTCCCACCTGCCCTGCCTGCCCTCACCTAACTGGCAAGCATGGCCAATCAAGGGGGGGCACTGGCGCTCTCAGGGAGTGCACATGCACCCTCTATGCATCACCACTGACTACACCTTGGCCAGCTTGTCTAATACCACTGGGCTAAAATGTCCAAACTCTTCATAACTCCAGCAACTCCAGTCCTCTACAGCTTTTGGTGCCTCCCTCCAGGGCCCCTGATCAGGGAATGAGGGCACCACCTGGTTCTTCTTGATAGATTGCCTGCCCATCTCCATTTCAGTCTCAGGATTTTCAGGTGCTATGGAGCTACCTGCTCTTTAGTCTCTTTCCTTCTGGGCTCTGGGACTGCTCTGAGCAGTGCTGCTACTGATTTCTGCAGTTTTAATTGTACCAGTGCTGCCTTCACCCTTTATGCTGTGTCCCTGAGCTCTGTGGCCCCAAATCCTTGATGGTCCCTTAGGGCAGCTTTCCCAATTCACTAGTGCGCCACCAACTAATGGCATGATTTCCCCAGGCATTTGCAATTTTCCCTCTCCAGTCATACCCAGAGGAGGGCATCCCCCTGGCCTAGGCTGAGCACTGGCTGCCTTAGTCCTTTCCCCATCTCAGCATGTCTCCAACTGAGAATGACATTCCATTCATATGGTGCTCCCCACAAAGACTCTCTCTGCCCAGTCACTTTGCAAGGATGGATCACACTGCCCCCTTCCAGGTCAGTTTGTCTTTGCTCTGGGGAGGCAGGCAGGCACCTGCAGAACTACCCTCCCTTGACTTTCAGTAGGAGCACCAGAACATTTGCCTCCTCTCCAACAGACTAGTGCTTCATCTTGTGGCCCGCTCAGACTGTGCTGTCCTTGAATTCCAAACACCCTAGCTTCTGGAAAGGTTTCAGACAGAAAAATAAGGCATTTTGGTCTTTGTGTCCCCGGTTGCTGGCACCACCTCTGCTCCACCACTCCCTGCCAGCTCATCAGCATCCTTCCTGCAATATGCTGATGGTACCTGCTGCTACAAACACTTTAAAAGTTGAAGTTTCTATCTGGGTGAATTAGGGCAGGTAGGCAGAGTCTCTGGGCAGCCTGAACTCAAACTCCTGTGTGGGAGTGGAGATTGATGCAGCCCAGCTTGTGTGGCTGGTGCTGTGGATGCCCCTCAGGATGTTCCCCCCTTGCTCTCCTCCCCCAGTCACTGGAGTCAGGAAGCCACACTCTGTAGGGGCTGTGCAGGAACGTGCCACAAGCAAACTCGGCTGGGACAGTACTGCTCTCACAGTGTATTTAGTTAATTTTACAAATATATTCCTAGCAGTTCCATATCTCTCACTACCTTTGCTTCCTGCTTCTAGCTAGGATCAAAACCCACAGATGGCTTCACATCCCAATAAGCAGGCACAAGGAAATTCTGAACGGAAGCAAAAGGGATCAGCAAATGCACAGTAATCAATTCCCCACAAAATTACCTACATTATTTGATAAATGTGAGGGGTTAGGCTAAGCATTCAGGCCTCTAGGGCAGGGGCGGCAACATTTTATCCCCATGGGCTGCAAATCTCAAACTGTCTGTTTATAACCTTGCTGCAGATACCTGTCCCCTCTGCAGCAAAGCAAGCACAGGCAAGAAGGAGAGCAGCAGAGAGGGCTGTGGAGGACAGTGCTGCAGAGGGGAGGGGCGACTTGGTTCAGCTACATGCCACCCAATCCTCCAGTGCCCCACTGAGCTGGGTCAGACCTTCCCAGGCTGGATTTGGAGCTCTTCATGGGTCAGATCCTGCTGGGGGCCATAGGCTGCCAACCCCTGCTAAGGGATTTATAATACTGGAGCCTTTGCCATTCAGCATTAGTGCATATTATGCTCTCATGGTTGACACAAAAATGGCTGATGCAAAAATGAACATGAGTCACCAGTGTGATGAGGGAATAAGCAAGGCTAACCGCACTCTTTCTTGCATCAGCAGGTGCATCACGAGTAGGTGATAATTCCCCTCTATGTGGCTTTGGTGAGGCTGCAGATGGAGTACTGTGTCCAGTTTTGGGCGCCGCACTTCAAGAGGGGTGTGGATAACCTTAAGAGGATTCAGAGAAGGGCTACTCATATGGTTGAGGGCCTGCAGGTAAGATCCTATGAAGACAGACTGAGGGACCTGAATCTTTTCAGCCTCCGCAAGAGAAGGCTGAGAGGTGATCTTGTGGCTGCCTACAAACTCGGGGTGCTTTTTGGGCTGCCCCAAAACCCATGGGGGGGGGGGGGGGTGTCAGCAGGGAATA